CTTAATAATATTTTTATTATGAGCGTTGTTAGTCAGAAGATTTTACAGTTTAAAGGAAGTCCATATTAATACTCTATTTCAACAGGTTATACCTAGTTCCTGGTGTCCTAATGCTAATGTCTGTGAATAAAACAATGCTTTGCAAAATACCCATAATGATGAAGCACAATAAGCAGTTCTACTCACCCTGCCAAAACACCCTGTTCAGAGCCTGAACGTGAACTCAGAGCGCTCGTTTTGAGTGCCTGTCTCTTTAAATGCAAAATGAGACAATCCACCCCACTCCTCCGGGAGGTGTGCCGACGTTCCAGCCCGCTCAGCTACCCATGACAACAGCTGAACGTGAAACTTTGGGAGACACGTGCTGTTGGAGGAAACTTTCCGGTCCAACCTTTATGAACAGAGTCAGACCCTGAACAAGAGGAGCTAGAGAGAAGTTGTTCAGTGTAGACTGCAACAAGACGTTTCTGAATGGTGAGTTATGAGCTTTATTTGACTTTTTTCCTCTTAAAAAATTGTATGGTTGGTACGTCGGGTTAAATACGGTCGCGTGACTAAAGTTTGTTTGTAACTTGTTTTTAAAAATCTTAGATTTCTGTAGTTGAGTAAACATAAGTAGCCATGCTATTCCCGTTTACACGAGTACATGTAACAGGTCCGCCAATATTAGCTACGAGTGGGAACACAGCACTCGTGTTTCATTCTCAGCTACGCCGTAAAAACGTTACATCATTATTCTGTCCGACATTAACGTTACTATCCACAGCCACCACTGAGCCGCTTTTCACACGTGTGCTAATTGTACAACCCTAGGTGTGAAACGAGGGATGTAGTGGAGGTAGGGTGATACCCCACAGTAAATGCTGTTTACCCCGTTTTTACCTGTGTTCAACATAATGCAATAATTCCAATTAATAAGGTCAACATCGTTGCATAAGCGTGACCTGTCCGTTATTGTAACAACATATTCAAATAAAAAACTATAACTGATATCTTTCCCTTTTTTTTGCTTGGTTTAGGTGTACTTGTGAGAATTGCACATCAATGCCTACAGTGCCAGAGAATGTCTTGCTGCAAGGAGATATCCCACAGGTAGTACATGGATGCTAGTTGAATGAAAATATAAATATTCAGTCCATTTTATCTGTCATGAAACGTCACTTACCACTTTTCAAAATTTACAGGTTGAAAGAAGACTAAATCAGCTTCAAAACCACCCTTCCTGCATGGTAGACACCGCTGGCCCTCGAACCCAAGTGTGTTTAAATTCACTGCAGAATGCCACGTGAACATCTACAAGAAGCAAAAGACTGACGGTCCTTTACGTCTGAGGGGAATAGAACAGTAAGTTTATTTTGCCATATTAAATTCTGTTTAATTGTAATAAAAATATCCCATAAAACAATTTCCATTCTTTCCCCTTTGTTACAGTTGCGTACTTTTCTTGTAAAGGCAGTTTGATAAATTGTTAAAATGTTCATATCAAAACACTATAAAAGATTAATTTCGCACCAATCAACTTGCAATAACATAATTTATTAAGCAATATTAAACTCGGTCCAACACCAACTTGCTGCTAATAAATGGTGTATTGCATTTCCGATATTGTGCAGGAATTTTCTTGTCCAGGAAGTACTTGGATACTCCATTCCACTCTACAAACCTGTGTCTTATGCTGACCAATAAAATGTTTATGTCCACTATATCCAAAACACTGAAAGTAAAAAAACTGCTTATACAGTTTTATTTTTATAATACATAGTACAGCAAACAACACACAATTGTCAATAAAATAAGTAATCAAAATATAAAGAATAAAAAAAATATGGTAAATCATAAATATGTCCAAATATAAATGTAAATGTATAACTAAATAGTCCACTCTGTTTCACCGTTAACAGATTCTTGGCTGTTAGGGCTTTGTGAGCTGTTTGTGGGGGGTTTTCCTGGGCTGAACAGTTTAGTGTGGCAACCCTGCCCAGCTGTGTGGTGCTGCTTATAAGGACGGAGTTCCCCCCGACGCTCAAGGCCATCTACGTGAGGGTTCAGACCGGCTTGACTGAACTCGTCAACGTATCCGTCTTAATCACCTCTGCTTCCTTGTCCGGCCTTTTCGAACCCCTGCGCAGAGATCCTCAGAACCTCATCTGTGATGGAACGCAGGGTCAGGAAAACTTTCTCCAAACACCAGATCACAAGATTTCATCCACTGTAATCTGGCAAAAAAGAAAAAAAAGTAAAATATTGTGTTTCTTTTATAGTGTTTATTATTTATTAAAAACCATATAAAAGTCCATAGAACACTGGTTAAATTTATTTTTTTATAATTTATTATTTTATTTATTTTACAAATATTTAATAATGGCTGTTTATTTTTCAGTTGTGATTTTCAATAAAAAGGTTTAAAACCTTTACGGGAGGTTGGTTCCCTCGCTTCCACTGGCTTTGTTCCTCTTATTGAAACATTAAATATTGATTAATATTATTTCCCGTCTTCCAGTTCTGTGAGTGGCTGAAGTCGCTGATTCGGGACCAGCGTAACGTCCTGCTGACGGCGCTGCTGAGTCTGCTGTCCATGGCGTTATTGGGAATATCCCCCAGCACCGCCCTGCCCACCCTCCTCCATCCCCTTCACCCTGTGGATGGCGAGCTAGAAGCTTTGGGGACGACGTTCAGCATTTTGAGCCTCACCGCTGTTCGATGCCGTCATGTTGGAAGACTGACAGACAGGAAGTAGTCGTCTGCAAACATGTTTGTAGTTAATGACTGTCGCACTGTAGTTTTACTACTAATGACGCCCTTCCTAAGTCCCGCCCCTTTTTTGTGATTACGAGCCAATCAGAGGCAGAGGAGGGCGGGTCATGACTTCGCCACCCTGGGAAAAAAAATTCTATGTGCTTAGCTAGTCTACGATGAAAACATAACATTTTGAAGCGACATATTCTGTGTACAGTCACATCTTAAGTTAAATCACTAATGTTAACAAACTGCTAGCTAACTAGATAGCTAATCTACATCAATCGTAGCTAACTTGCTAATTTACATAAATAGTAAGCTAGTTAGCTCACGTTTTGCTAATGTTAGCTAACTTAAAATGTGACTGTATATAAATGTCTCTTTTATTTTTTTAACCATCTCTAAATGTCTTTTTGACATAGATTAGCTTAGCACGTAGCATATCTAAGTACAGGAAGTTGACCGAGGTTTGCTCGACTGTTATTGGAGCACAGAGCAAAAGGGGCGGGGCTTAGGAAGGGTCAATAACAGTTCAGTAGCTCTTAACTGCTGCATTGTCAACTCACCAACTAGTACCACCCACATTGTTTGATTGACAGGTGACTTTTTGGAGTCGAAGAGCGCTTAGCAACAAAGACAACTTAACAGTTTTTTTTTCGCCTCTAAATTAAAGAAACCAAAGATCGTTTAATAATAACTGCGTTTTACTGAAGCTGCAGGTTTTGTTTGGAGGAATTAAAGTGATGTTTTTGTTTTTGTTGTCTTCCAAAATGGC